TGTTGGTCTAGTCTGATACACAACGCTCTTCAGATGTCCCCATAAAAAGTAGTCACAAACGGAGAGGTCTGGAGACCGGCCAAGCGATGTTAGCATTCTTTGAAATAATCCTATCCCCAAACAAAGTCTTACTCCTGTCATAGACTCCCGTGCAGTGTGTGAGGTGGCTCCATCTTGTTGAAACCAGGTGTGCTGAATGTCAAGATTTGGAAGAGAATGAAGCCTTGGGGCCAAAAATGTCTCTAGCATGTTGACATAAAGTTGAGACGTCACAGTGACAGCGGAGCCCTCTTCATCTTCAAAAAAGTAAGGGCCTATCACCCCACACCATACAGTAACTCTGTCACTGTGTAATGGTCGCTGGTGAAGCTGAGCAGGATTTATTTGTGCCCAGTAACACATGTTCTGCTTATTGACGTATCTACTTAGATAATCTGATATCCAAAGATTTTCAATAAAGTTTGCATCCTCATTGATTTTAGCCAACAGTTTTCCACAAAATTGTTGGCGCAATACAGAATCATTAGGTTTAAGTTCTTAAACAATCTGAAGCTTGTGAGGCTGAAAATTAAGGGCGTGGAGTATTCTTTGCACGCTTCGATGCCCGAGCCTTAATGAGGAGGCAATTTTTCGCACCGAACGACGAGGACTCAGCACTGCAGCTTGCACAGCATCAAGCTCCGTTTTCTGGAGTACGTACAGACAATACACGTTCACAAAGCTTTTTTTTCAAGGCCGAACCTGTCTCTTCAAAGTTACGTTTTGATTGCGTGTGAAGAAGGAATTTGACCACGGGGCGGGATTCCATAGTGGCGCCGAAACATTCTTTGGGTAGTACGCTCTCACAGCGACCGCACGCTCCACACCACTCCACTGCTCCATTACAACTAAATGTCTACTAAATGTTACTACCCGACAGTTTGCTGTCACCCCCCAACTTATTGTACATCTACAGGGCCGCCAAAACCAACTTCAAATTTTCCCGTTTTTCTGCGCCACTCTGTATTATACTCCCGATCAAAAGTTCACAACACCCAATGGCCTTTTGTGTTACTTACATACGATCGCTCTACGATGCGAATGAAATTTCGGAACTTTCACCCGTATATATAACCTCGGTACTCCTTCCCTTCGAACCGCCGTTGAGCGCCTCTCACGCTATTCGTCGCTCTTTCCGCAGGCTGCACCCTCATTGGCTGCCGGACCCCCATCGCTCGCCGCCCTCGGCCCTCGCAAACCGTCGAGAGACACTGAGACGTTTCTGTCCGGAACTGGGCTAACAAGACCTCGATCGCGTCTTTGCGACGGCGTATTGAGCGAGGAGCGCGCGTCGAGTGAGGATCTACGTTCGTTTCTTCCGTCACTTCGCCTCTCATCATGACCGGACGCGGCAAAGGTGGCAAGGGGTGGGCAAAGGAGGAGCCAAGCGCCACAGGAAGGTTCTTCGTGACAACATCCAGGGCATCACAAGCCCGCTATTCGTCGTTTGGCTCGCCGTGGCGGTGTCAAGCGTATCTCCGGTCTCATCTACGAAGAGACCGCGGTGTGCTCAAGGTCTTCCTGGAGAACGTGATCCGCGACGCCCGTCACCTACACCGAACACGCCAAGCGCAAGACGTCACCGCCATGGACGTCGTCTACGCCCTGAAGCGCCAGGGACGTACCTTGTACGGTTTCGGCGGCTAAGCTGTTTGCAGTCGCTCAACGGATTTGTTTTTGTTGCGGACGACACAGCTACAACGGCCCTTTTAAGGGCACCCTATTCATTTTCACGAAATGAAAAAGTAGTGTCGCTAAGAATGACAGTTGTAATAAAAATATAATGTGTGACCGTATTTGTTCCTATTTTCTTCTCGCGCTGATGTATGTGGCTATGTCTTTTGTTTTGTTGTTGTTTTCTTCTCGACTTTGTCGAAGGTTTTGTGCTGCAGTTCGCACGCATTTCGCTGCTACGTGTAAGGTTCGCGTCGGACCAAAACAGCTTTTGTGTTGCACTAGGCTCTCTCAAGGGCTCGATGTCAAGTTCCGTTCTCGGAACTTTCAACCGTTTTCGAAAGGGAAGGCGTGCGTATTATAGAGAGTGCAAAGCGAAGTTCCTAGAGGAGTGTAGGTTGCGCGAAAAGAGGTTGTTTAGATTGATCAATGTGACGGCCAAGTAAGTAAGTTGTTGCGTGATAATACGTTTGCTGAAAACGTCAAGTGGTGTTTTTCCGCCCACTCGAGCATCAGGTTAATCCGCTTTTGAATCTGTATTTTCAATTTTGACGGCATGAGATGTCATGAGCGTAGCGAAGGGAATGCCTCATTCGTGTTGAATGTGGGATGTCATTGACATGCAGCGAGAACAGTAGCGGGGTGGCAATGCCGAATTTATTTAGCTAAACCTTCTCGCGTGATCTACATTCCCGTAATGATGAAACGATATGTATTATTAACGTTCCCCTTGCGGCATCGATAACCCGACTAGCATGAATGCAAGTAGTGAAGTGAGCTCACTTCTGTACGATGATAGTAACGCAATTTACGTTTTGCGCCACCTGACGTAACAGTAGGTTTTATTTTATTCTTTGCGGGTTACATATTGTCGGCATTGACAAGCCAACGATAATAAAAAGCATTGAAGTAAGTTCACTTCTGTAGGAGCAACACTAGGTTTTCGTTTATTGCGGAGAGGTAGCGGCATGATTTGCTCTTTCGAAAAATATTGTTGGCCCTGAAAAGGGCCGTTCATGCGCAAACAGGGCGCAGAAAAACAAAATCTTCAGCACACATTTACGCCTTCTTTTCCGTCTTTTTGGGCAGGAGTACAGCCTGGATGTTAGGCAGCACACCTCCCTGCGCGATGGTCACGCCGGACAGAAGTTTGTTCAACTCCTCGTCGTTACGGATGGCCAACTGCAAGTGACGCGGGATGATACGAGTCTTCTTGTTGTCACGAGCGGCGTTACCGGCCAACTCCAACACTTCGGCGGCGAGATATTCCATAACGGCCGCCAAGTAGACGGGCGCGCCGCCCTACGCGCTCAGCATAGTTGCCCTTGCGCAGAAGACGGTGGATACGACCCACGGGGAACTGAAGCCCGGCTCGGCTTGAGCGAGACTTGGACTTGCCCTTCACCTTACACGCCCTTGCCGCGACGCTCATGTTGATTTGAGAGAGAGAAGACGAAAACACAGAGCACGGCTCTCGTCTCGCCAGTCGTCTGTCGTGTGGCGCTCGAAACAGCGCCCCTGTATTTAAAACCTCGGTGCCCCTTCCGCGGGGCGCGCCGCGAGCGCTGTCATTCGGCGCGCGCCGCCAGTGACCGCTCTCATTGGGCGCCCGTCCGCCGCTCGCAGCGAAGGGGCCACACCGAGGTTATAACTACAACCGGCAGGTTTCCGCTCGCCATTCCTTCTGAGAGGACTGTCGAGCGCACTATTAGCGTGTCGAGCTAAGATTGGCCAGTCAGTTTGCTAATCAAAAAGTGCCATTTGGAGGTGGAAAGGAGGTGCCGTGTAGTGTTTAAAACTTCTTTTTGTGAAAGTGAGTCAATTTAACTTCTCAGTGGTGCGTGTAAAAAGTGATCCGAAGAAAACTCATTTGTGTGTTCATAATAAACTAATCCGCAATAGAGTGAAAATTAAGAAGAACTCCCAGTTACTAAAAAAGGACGCCATCTTGCAGTGTTCGAACAATCCAGAGGAGACGCGGGCGTTCCCGTGTACTCCAATGCTACAAAACGAAGATACGCCGATGGACGCGTCAATTTCTATAATTGACGCGTCTAATCCTAAAAGTAAGCAAACAATCCCCCATACAGGAATAAAGTCAACTGATGCCCCTATAGAAAATGCTTCCCCGTTTCGGAAATATGATAAAACATTTAAGGCAAAACCTGTAACTCCTTTTCCTAATTTAAAAACTCAAAATTATTTTAACCCTCTTGCTACCCTTCCCTCTTCCCAATCTGTAGTTAGTGACGAAATCCCTTCGACTTCAAATGACACAACAACACCGACACCAACAGACAGACCAACTACGAGACCTAAAATTGGACAATTTAAAATAGATTTAGACTCCATACTATGCCCCAACGACCTGACAAAGGATTTAATGACAATTTGTAATGGACAGTTGACAGCAAAATGCACAAGAACAGAATTATTAATCACTCCAAAAACTGTGGTAGCACATAAACGAATAAGTGAAAGACTCGACGAAATACGGACTTCCGACTTAAAAAACTTGTTCTTCAAACATATTGCATATCATTACAACCGTGCTACCAACGAAACACGGGAGAAGTTGGTGATGAAGGGACTACCACCTAGATATCCTATCCAAATTATACAAGACGGACTGAATGAACAAAAAATAACAACGTTTTCGGTCACTGAAATGCACAAAAGAAATGACAATGGACTGACACCTTTAGGGATATATATTATTGAAATACCTAGACGTGACGCCACAACAACAAGACAGACAATAAAATATATTGGTAATTACAGTGTCAAAATTGAAAACTACAAACCGACTGACAGAATCCCTCAATGCAAAAATTGCCAATTGCTTTTCCATACTAGAACATACTGCCGACGACCGACCGTGTGCGCTCTTTGTACACAGAACCATACTACGGAGACATGCCCCAACTCACAGACGGAAAACTTCATACCAAAATGTAATAACTGCAACCAAAATCACTCTGCTTTTGATACAATTTGCCCCTACATAAGACAAGCAAGATCTATTAGACAGCAACAGATCAATAGAACAACCACAACTTCAACTCAAAATGTGAATCTCAACGCCAATTCTTTTCCTCCCCTTCCTACACCCTCCCGCTCATATTCTTCTGTTGTAACGAATTCCTCACCACCAAATGACAACACAGTTCACAACGCACAACCTACTACATCGACATCGACAGAAATTAAAGACACTTTGACATTACTACAAAACTGTGACTTATCAAAACTACTTTCGGCCATAACCCCGATTATATCCATTTTCAAAGGCCCAGGTGACATTCTATCAAAACTAATAAAGGCAGCGATTAAACTAGTCGAAATTTTTAATTAATGGCTCATTCTTCTAGATTTTTAATTCTCTCCTCTTGGAACGCACACGGCGGATTGAATGCCAAGAAGGCCTCACTTTCACAATTTTTAAAGGATTATTCCGTCGGAATTATGTGCATTCAAGAAACTTGGTTAAATCCAAATGTACCATTTACAATGCCCAATTACATAATACATCGTAATGACCGAATTAGCTCTACTCATGGTGGTACGGCTATTTTAGTACGCAAATATATCCCTCACTCAACTTTTAATCTACCTCCCACTGTAGCACTTGAATGCTCTGCAGTTGTGATTGGCACTCCCTCCACCCCCATCATAATTATTTCGGCATATAAGAAACCCGACATACAAATTCCGAATTCAGATCTAAATTTATTATTAAACCTTCCCCACCCATTCATATTATCTGGCGACATAAACTGTAAAAATACACAATGGGGCTGCAACCGGACAAATAGGGCTGGACGGACATTAGAAACATTTTTAGACAACAACCCGAATATTATCCTCAAAAGTCCCCCAGAACCGACGCACTATATACAAAATTCCCCAAATGACATCTTAGACCTCATCATTCATTCATCCATCATCCAGACGTCCAACCCCAACGTAAAATTTGACTTATTCCACAGTTCTGACCATCTCCCAATACTTTTCTCAAGCAGCTCGACTACCCCCTACTTTACACCTTACTGTCCACCAAATTTGACGCATAATTGGAAAGACTACAAACATATACTTTCAAAGAAAATTCATGTCCCAGATCAAATTGACTCAACACTTGACATTGACAAATCAATTAATCATCTGACACGACAAATTAAAAATGCCTACAGAAAGACGACGACTATACAAAAATCAACCCATCCTACCCTACCAGCACATATTGTTGACCTAATTAGAATCAAAAGACGGACGCAAAGACAATTTTATAAGTTTAGAAGGGACGAAGACAAAAGACGAATGAAACAATTACAACGACAAGTACATAAACTGCTAATAGACCATGAAACACATAAATACGACGACTTATTATTGGACAAAGGCAGCCCCAACAAAATTCATAAAGCCATTCACGCTGTTAGAGCAACCCCCACCAAAATTTCTCCTTTAAAAGCACAAAATTCAAATGAATTAATTTTTGACCCCCAAACCATCACTGATATTTTTGGACAAACTCTAGCTCAAAATTTTCTTCCTCCCAACATCCCCATTCCTGACTCGGTCATTTTTAATTACTTAAATACCCCAAATAAGCAACTCTCCCTACAACCGTACACCACCAATAACACGGAAGTGTTAGACATCATTAAAAACGTAAGTTCACAAAAATCACCTGGTCCCGACGGAATAATACCTGTTCAACTTCATCACCTTTCGAAAAATGCCTTGGACCTACTGACTAAAATTCTAAATTCCTGTTTCTATTTTGCATACTTCCCTACTTCTTGGAAAACTGCACGTGTGACTATGATTCCAAAACAAGGCAAAGATCATCAGCAACCCTCAAATTATCGCCCCATCAGTTTACTCCCCATTCTAGGTAAAATCTTTGAAAAAATTATCCTCCTCCGACTTGACCCCCTACTAAACCCCTTCATTCGTCCCGCACAATT